ATGTACTTCCGTTCGTATTTTTTTCTACCCCTGTCTGCCCCTCTCAAATTTTTCTTTAATGCCTGTCTTTTCTTCTGAATTTATTGATCTTCAATCTGTTATGATTTCTATATAGTTCCATGTACTTTACTCTCTGCATTGGTGCCTCTATATGTGATCCAATTTCACAGCTATCCTATCAGCTCCTCGATTTTCTATCCCCTAAAAGACAAACTCTGCTCGGTCCAAACGTATACCTTTGAATAGAGGGCAATATAATATAATATTACTTTTGCCACATTACTATAAAAGGCCTCTATCTTCTCAAATCTGCATTTTGTAAAAGTTTTACTTTTATTTTTCCCTTCAAATTTTAAATCTTTTTCTACTAATATGTCTATGTCAATTCGATCTTTTTCAAAGAGCAGTAATTGGATAATCTTGGGCGACTTGAACATTAGGATTGGGAAGGAGGAATCCGACAGTATTTTGGGAAGTTTCTCTTATTATAAAACTTAAACTATTTATGAAATGTTATATACCTTCAAACTACAGTTATACAGGATTTCTCATTTATTACTTTAAATAGGTAGTTGTTTAGGTTGTTAATAATATATTTCAGTCTTTCTAATCTTAGTTTCTCCGTATTGTATAATAAAAAATAAACTTACAAATTAAATAATTTCTTTTTAATTCTTCTAATGTATTTAATATGAACAAACTACAGTTATACAAGATTTTTCATTTATTACTTTAAATGGGTAGTTGTTTAGGTTGATAATATATTTCAGTCATTTTAATCTTAGCTTCTCCGTATTGTATATTAAAAATTAACTTACAAAAATGGATGACATCAATTATACTAAACTTCCCTAAAAATAAGTCCCCAAACTGCCTTAAAGATTACAGAGGTATTGCCAGTGGCGTAGCTTGGAATTTTTCTTAGAGGGGGTCCATAGTTCACGTTCACGTTCAAATTCAAAAAAAGGAACGCGTTCAAGTTCATGAACGCGTTCATGCGTTCAAAATTTTATGATAAATTTTTTTTTAAATTTAATATAAATAAATGCCTTATATTTTTCAACACAATATATTAGCCATGATAAAAAATAGTTTTATTTTGATAATACAATTATAAATACAATATAATAGAGCGATAAAAAAATAAATTTATAAAAAAATTTTCTTATTAATTTTTAATAATCGCTTGGCAGTTAATACAGCGTTAGCTATACTAAAAACTCGCTCAACAGGGGCAGATGAAGGGATTGCGGGGTTATACTTGATAAACAATTCTTTGAAAAGGGGGAATTTATTAAAAACATTTAATGTTTTATCCATTGTCTCAAAAAATTGAGCTATGTTATCATCCTCCAATCTGCCCTCTTCTTCCTCGTCAAAAAAAAGGATATCTCGGAATTGATTTTAAAACAGTGAAATATTTTTGATATTTGGGACATGGTAATTCTAATTCATCTAATATTGAATTTTGATTTTCAGAATCTGATGATGAAATATTTATATCCATGCAAATGCTAATCTATTAAATTAAAATATAAAATATTCAAATTAATAAACTTTAATCTTATCCCTCTAGCATTATCACGTTATGGTACGTTAATTGCAATATGAAAGAGGAAAAAGAAACAGCTGATTAAAAAATATAAGACTTTTTTGTTAAAAAATTGGATTAAATATTAATTTTTCAAAAAATAAAATATAAGACTTTTTTGTTAAAAAATGTGGATTAATATTAATTTTTCAAATAAATAAAAATAAAAAGTGTTTTTAAAATTTAACGAACGTAAAATTGAACGCGTTCATCAAAGAAAAGGAACGCGTTCACGTTCAAAGTTTGTCAAAAAAAAGGAACGCCGTTCATCACTTTTTTTCAAAAAAAACGAACTTCGTTCACGACACTAGAAAATGGCAATTGTCATAATCGTTATTTTTGAACTTTTTTAAAGTAAATAGGTAAAAATATGTTTTGTATACATGTGAAATTAATATTTCAGTGAAAGTGTACTATGGAAAAGTGACAATCGTTATTTTTAAACTTTTTTGAGATTTTTTAAAGTAAATGGGTTAAAATATGTTTTGTAAACCTGTTAAATTTATATTTCAGGGAAAGTGTATTATAGAAAAGTGACAATTGTCATACTCGTTATTTTTGAACTTTTTTTAAAGTAAATCGGTAAAAATATGTTTTGTATGCATGTTAAGATAATATTTCAGTGAAAGTATACTATAGAAAAGTGACAATTGTCATAATCGTTATTTTTCAACTTTTTTTATAACTGGGTAAAAATATGTTTTTTAAACATATTAAATTAAAATTTCAGTTTAGATATATTTTATATTTTTAAGTCACTAACAGTAATATCAACAATAAAATTCCTAAATTCGCTTTTATTTATATATTCAAAATTAATGATGAGATATTTTCCTGCAAATCGTCATTCCTTGATTTGATTAAATTCAAGATTTTATTAATAAAACATTTATCACTTTAAATGAAAATAAATTCCACTATTATGATTAAACTTTAATCTTCATAACATCCGGAAATGTTTTTTTAATATAATTTATAATAGTAGGCCAATATAAGATTAAAATAATTGTAAGATTAATTTATTTTTTCCTACATGTTAACTACGAAATATATTTAAATATAGAATCCTGCATCGGTTATTTGTATATCAACTAACTATAATATCTTTGACTTATTTATTTCAATTCTGTGAGTAAATACATTTTGAATATTTATTCACTTTAGTGAACGATCTGAAATTACAAGTTAGAGCTACTATTGAAATTTAAATCTATCAAAGTATTAAATAGCTTTTCAAAAATGAATATAATTACGAAATTAAATTTGGCATTTTCAAAGTTAGCCCTCATATTTATATTTATTTTAAACAATTACTAAGATTATACACATAACATTCTAAGTTTATATAAGTTTTTTTCGAAAAATGAAGGCCTTTAGATATTTTTTTTTTACTATATTTTATTGAATTATGCTAGGCTCTCTCTTTGAAGGCCTTTGGCCAATTTATGTTTTAAATTTTCCTCGGGTTTATAATCTTTTTTTAAAATATTTCTCACAAATTTTATAAGGTCATTATTTTTATTTATTTTTTTATATTTTTGTAACATCATATACGCACTTTTAGTTAATTGATAGGGGTAAATTCTATATTATTTTACCTTGCTTTAACAAAAAAGTTCAAAAATAATGATTATGACAATTGTCACTTTTCTGTGGTATCTTCAATAAAATTTTAATTTAACATGTTTACAATATATATTTACCAGTTTTCTTTTAAAAAATTCAAAAAAGTTCAAAAATAACGATTATGACAATTGTCATATTTCTATGGTATATCTTCACTGAAATTTTAATTTAACATTTTTACAATATATTTTTACCTATTTACTTTAAAAAAATTCAAAACAGTTCAAAAATAACGATTATGACAATTGTCACTTTTTTATGGTATATCTTCACTGAAATTTTAATTTAACATATTTACATTATATATTACTTTAAAAAAATTCAAAAAAGTTCAAAAATAACGATTATGACAATTGCCACTTTTCTATGGTATATCTTCACTGAAATTTTAATTTAACATTTTTACAATATATATTTTTACCGATTTACTTTTAAAAAATATTAAAAAGTTCAAAAATAACGATTATGACAATTGTCACTTTTCTATAGTACACTTTCGCTGAAATATTAATTTAACATGTTTACAAAACATATTTTTACCAATTTACTTTAAAAAAACTTAAAAAAGTTCAAAAATAACGATTATGACAATTGTCACTTTTCTATAATACACTTTCACTGAAATATTAATTTAACATGTTTACAAAACATATTTTTACCAATTTACTTTAAAAAAACTTAAAAAAGTTTAAAAATAACGATTATGACAATTGTCACTTTTCTATAGTACACTTTCACTGAAATATTAATTTAACATGTTTACAAAACATATTTTTACCCATTTACTTTAAAAAAACTCAAAAATAACAATTATGACAATTATCACTTTTCCATAATACACTTTCACTGAAATTTTAATTTAACATGTTTACAAAACATATTTTTACCAATTTACTTTAAAAAAAGTTCAAAAATAACGATTATGACAATTGTCACTTTTCTATAGTACACTTTCACTGAAATATTGATTTAACATGTTTACAAAACATATTTTTACCCATTTACTTTAAAAAAACTCAAAAAAGTTCAAAAATAACGATTATGACAAATGTCACTTTTTCATAGTACGCTTTCACTGAAATATTAATTTAACATGTTTACAAAACATATTTTTACCCATTTACTTTAAAAAAACTTAAATAAGTACAAAAATAACGATTATGACAAATGTCACTTTTCCATAGTGCACTTTCACTGAAATATTAATTTAACATGTTTACAAAACATATTTTTACCCATTTACTTTAAAAAAACTCAAAAAAGTTCAAAAATAACGATTATGACAATTGTCACTTTTCTATAGTACATTTTCACTGAAATATTAATTTAACATGTTTACAAAACATATTTTTACCCATTTACTTTAAAAAAACTCAAAAATAACGATTATGACAATTGTCACTTTTCTATAGTACACTTTCACTGAAATATTAATTTAACATATTTACAAAATATATTTTTATCTATTTGCTAAAAAACTCAAAAAAGTTCAAAAATAACGATTATGACATTTATCACTATTACCTAAAAAATTATCTATCAAAAGATATATAATAGATAAAATTACGTAAAATATAAATATATTATAATCATTTTTAAAATATATATTAAAAAATATCAATTAAAAAAATATATTTAAAAAAATTTATTAAAAAAATATATTAAAAAATATCAATCAAAAAAATAAATTTAAAAAAATTTATTAAAAAAATATATTAAAAAACATCAATCAAAAAAATTTATTAAAAAAATCATATAAGCAAAAATTAAAAAAATTAGCGATCAAAAGATATATCAAATATAAATTTATTATAAAAATCATATAAGCAAAAATTAAAAAAATTAGCGATCAAAATATATATCAAATATAAATTTTAAAAAAAATATCAATCAAAAAAATATATTTAAAAAAATTTCATAAAAAAACATATAACACAAAAAATAAAAAAATTACCGATCAAAAAGAAAAATATCAATCAAAAAATATATGTAACTGTAATATTTGGACCGATGGGTTCCCTAGTCTGAATGGGAAAAATACAGTCCGTGATCGGGGGTCCGGGATAATCGATGACGGGATCCAGGGGGCCGGGTTTTATCGATTTAGTCCTGGAATCACTTGGACAACGTAGTTAAAATAATATTCGAAGTTTATTCAACAAAGTAAAATTTCAAAAAAATATCAATTTACAAAACGAACGAAAATAATTAATGATCCAAAAAGGTGTTTTGTTTTCAACCTTTATAATTTTTAAAACAAAAAGGAAAAAAAAAGTTGTTATTTAATCGCGATACAATCATTCATGAAACTGGTAAGAACCAGTTTCAAATGCAATATAAAAATAAGGTATAATATATCAATTTCATAACAAAATAAAGGATGGGAAAACAAAAGAAACAAGTAGAAAAAAAAAGAAATAAGTTGTACGCAGTGGCGTAGCTAGGAATTTTCCTTAGAGGGGGTCCATTTTATTATATTTTTTGAAAATTTTATAAAAAATTAATTCAGATCTATGGGGAAAAAAATAAATAAAAAGAAAATTTAGATATAATATTTAATATTTTTTAAGTAAAGAATGAATTTTTTTGAATAGCGAGTAACGCCTCCTTTTGACAAGGTAACGAGTAACGGTAACACGTTTCTTTTTTATGGTTAAAGTACTAGAAGGGGGAGAGAAGGCCAGGTAAAAGGGGACCAAAAGTCCGCAAAATAAAATGGTATGAGGGAGGGGAATACAGCTATAATAATGAGGCCATTAAAAAATTACTGACGAAACTGAAGTGTCACCAATTCGCCCCTGGATTAGTCTATACCTATTTCTTGCCTTTAAAAATCTTTAATATTTTTAAAAAAAGGTGGTGGCTTAAGTTATGTTCGTTTTTGTTGTATAAAATTCAAAATTAAAAAAAAAAAAATTCCTGCCGTGAAGTGTAGAGACGTTGTAGTAGACAATTAAAATTTTTACTTCTAACTTTTATTATATTACACATCATGCATTCGCCCATATTATATATAGCTAGAATTGATTTTAAATAAATTAACCCTAACTCGTACCTTTTTAAACCTTTATTTTAATCCTAAACCTTATATCTCTAACCCTTTAATTTTAACCCTACACTCATATTTATTTAATAATAAAATTAGACGAATTTAAGGTTTTTCTTTTTGAATAAATTAGCAGTGTTGTTAAAAGCTACTTTAAAAAGTAGCGCTCTATTGCTACCGCTTTTAAAAAAATAGCAGGATATTAGCCATTTAAAAAAAATAGTAGTTAAGCTAGATTTTTGTTAATTATTTATTGTAATTTTTAATTTATATAACACTTGTATATATCTTATGGCCAGTTTGAACTTACCATGTTTGAACTGCGCTAGAAAATTAACTTTCACATGAACTCATCTAACTCAAACAAGATATCGCTTTGATTCAATTTTTATTTTAAAGATTAATGATTTGGGTTACACAATCTAGATCGCTAAAATAACGATCGCTAAAAATGGGAATCTCGCTTATATCTCGTAGAAAATTTTAAAAGTAAAATTGAAAATAATATAAATAGATGCTACACTTGCATTTAAATAAAGTTTTTAAAATGGTTAAAAATAAAGGAAATATTATCATTGTTCCCAAAATTGGGAACAACATTTGGGGAAATTGATATTCCCCTCATTTAGCGATTTTTAAAAAAAACTTAATTTAAATACAAATGTTTACTTCTAAATAAAATAAATAGATTATAATTAATTATAAATATATTCAAATAAATTTTATGTGAATTTATTATAAAAAATTGAAAGCTACAGCTACTGAAAAAATTAGCGCGCTACTTTAACAACACTACGAATTAGTTATTGTAAAAAATAAATAGTTCCTAATTTTCCAATTATAAAAAATAAAAATCACCTGTAAACGTTAAACTAAAATCAAATAGAATATCCGTTATGAAGTCCAATTAAAGTCATTAAAAATTAAATAATTGAAAAATATGTATAATTTATTTTAAATTAAAACGAACATGCAATGTTTGTCAAATAAAGTTCTTCGTTATTTTATATTCAAATTAATATTATCTTTAACATTAAATAAAATAGAATTAATAAATTCAATGGTTTCATCATAGATGCTAAAAAAAAAATTATCTTTGTATAACAAATCAGGTTCATCATTATTAACTTCAGCCAAATGATCATAATTAAAATAATCAGTTTTAACTATTTTTATAAATTCCAAGTATGGATCCAGAGTTTCAAATCTAAAAAGATCATATTTATCCTTTTTCTGGATGTTAAGGCACAAGATTTTATTAAATTCTTCAGATATATCTTCACCTGGGCAGCCTATAAATTGTAAGAATATGAAAATATTATTAAAATTTTCAATATAATTTATAAATTATATCTTAAATAATTGATTTCATTTAAAAACAAAATGTTAAAACAATTCTTACAGGGTCGTAACTAGTAGAATATTTGGGGGCCATGATAGAGCCCTAAAATTTTTAAAAAAATTGACTCAAACCCGGCCTAAAATTTTTATTTTGTCCAAATCCCGGCTCAAATTTTTTTTATTTTAGACCAAGCAAAAGCATGAAATTTTCAACTGAAAAATATAAATTAAACGCACTCCTATAAAGTTAAATAAACTTTTTAAAAAATCACTAATTTTTGTCATAATCCCATAGAAATTTTTATTATCATTTTATTTTAATATTTTTAAGCCCGGACCCAATCTTTTAAATTATAGGCTCGAACTCACCCAAAATTATTTTTTAAAATCAAGGTCGATCCTAGTTCTGTAGGTATGTGGAAAGTATACGCATATAGTTATTATTGATATTATGAAATATATGCATGAATATATGAATTAATAAATTCGTTATTTAGATATATTTTATAATGATTATATATATATATGATTAATATAATATTGGGTTAAAGTTAACTACCTAATATCCATAGCATCTATTATAATGTGATATTATCTCAAATATTATATTGGCGCTGTCAAGGATGTAAATGTAAGTATGAATTTAATCTAATTGATTAAATTAGAGTCGATGAGACAAAGAACCTATAATGAGAATCTATTGGATGTTTTATGAAATAAATTATGGGTAATGATTGGAAAATATCATGGTAAGTATGAACTATTTTGTAAATGTGATATTTGTTTGAGCAATATAAATATATTGGATATTTCATGAAATTAATATGGATAAAGATAATTGGGAATCAGAATTAAGTCAATGGAATAAATTATGGAGAATTTGCAAAATATGATAAAATTATGGTTGATAATAAACTTAATTTGAATATATATTAGGTTATGATATTAAATGAATTTGCAAAAGAAAATAATAAAATCAGTTATTTTGGTACAAATTAAAATGTTCATGCAGATTAAATTGAATGAAATTGCAAAAGAATGAAGGATAATTCTATTATGATTATTTGTGATATGAAATATATTTTGGGAAATTGATGACCTAGTAAAAATGGAACATTATGGGAAATAATATTGTGAAAACATGGATACTAATTTATGGTCCAAACATACAATACATTGTACAAAAGATATCCAACGCAAAAAAATAAAGTAATAATGTGTTCTCAAATAAATAAAAAGGGTAGTATTTGAAAATATATTTTGTCAATAATTTAACTTGATTGCTTATCGGCTTTAGCATTTTTATATAGTTCCATATTTCCTACATGTGTTGGTAGGGGGTCCTTATCGTAATAATATATTGAAAAAAATTAGAATATTTAGTCTCTAAAAATTAAAACGGTCTTGTCTTATCCTGATTACTAAATTGAAAGACTAGAATAAGAAAATTTGCGAAATAGCAGGCGGTTAATTCCAAGATATGTGTTATAGATTTTAATAATATATATTATATCATATTTTTTTATTATTCAAAAATATATTCTTCTATCAATGATCTCTGTTCATTTGAAAACTTAATAGTGTAACTAAAGAATTTACAGGTTTATTGGTAGAAAGAGAATTTAAGGGTATAATTTTAAAAATGAGTTCAATAATTTTAATAAACATAAATTTTAATTTTTTTAATGAAACCTTTCTTAATTACTCAGAATTTACCGAATCTTATTAGGGGTTTATAATCCCAATCACTTTTGATCCATGTCAAATCCCTTCAAAGGGTATCTAACATGGTTATCGTTAGGTCCCCTTCTATTTTGTTTAGGCATTCATGATTTAGTACAAAAATTTAATTTAGACAAAAATATATCGTACTTAATGATGGAACATTATGCGGGGTGGGTCTTCATTTAATATTCTGAATAAAAACAAATATTTCGACAACTCTTGAATTTTGGAGTTTTATTTTTAATAAGTCCAAAACTGGAATTTGCTTCTTAATTAATAAACTCTCTGATATAGTCGGTTTTAAAATAGTGTAATATGATAAATTAATTTTATCAAGTTTATCATTAGCTAATATCTCAATGTCAGAAGCTTATAGTAAAATTTTTAGATCTTTTTGAAATGTCTGCAATTCAACACCTGCCTGCGCATCAAAGTGTATTTCGAATTCGTAAATATCCATATACCAAAATTTTTGATATTTTTAAGTCATCATCCAAAAATAGTTTGCTGATAAATTGCAGTTAAAATTTTAAGTCACTTTAAAACATTTTAAATATTAAATTAACTGGTTTTAATCTCTTTTACAGCACCCTGTAAAATCTGGTGGTATAGACATTTTCCACTCCATCTTATTTACTAATCATCCTTTATGCCCCCAGATTGATGATTAATTCTTTATAAGATTATGCAATAAATAATTGGAAAGTAAGTATCCCAGTAGACACTCCTTTTCCTTTACTTTAGACATTAGCCATAAAAAAATTTTAAACCCCTTATAGAAACTTGATGGCGAAATTCAATACAACTCTTTTCGTCCGACAAAAGACTAGGAGGTCACGAATAAAGAGGCCCTTCCATTGCAAACTTGTTTGATAATGTACAACCTCATAATTGATAGATTACAACACTTTGGTTAGCTTTAAGTGGGGACATAACTCTATATAGTCAAGGCCAACACCAACGTCATACCTCAATTAATCTAATAACAAGGGACCTAAAAGTAGCTCACATCCCAAAAATTCTAGAATTCCAATCTATCATCAGAGGATAGTCTAAGACATGGATTGTCTACAGTCCCTTGGGAGATCGAAAAATCTCTTATTTGCAAAATCAAACCGCCAATTCATGGAATTTCAATCGTTAATAGATTTGCAAAAGCACAACGGTTTAGATATGGGACATATTTTGCATTCAAGACATTCTGCCTGGTTAATAATTCATTGCCAATCCGATAAAAATTGTAAAAAATAATACAATTTACAACCGAAAGTTGCTATCGTGGTAGATAAACCTACTACTTATCAAATAAACAGGTCTTGGTTATTTACGTAAAATAGGAATTTGTGCCCTCTTTCATGATCCTATTTTTAAATTCCTAGACCAATTGAGAATCAAAAGATGCAGAGGTGATAGTTTCATACCTTACTAGATCTTCTTAAATCCTCTGGTTTTTCTGAAAAAATTTTGCAAAAAATATGGATTTCTTTTGTAAACGATGGTGCAAGTGCCATGATTGGGAAGAAATCATATGTAGCAAAAGGCCTTAGTGCACTATAGTGAAAGATATCACCTTGGCATTGTTTAACCCTCTAGCTACATCTGAAACCACCAAAATATTGTATTCCAATTTACTACACAAGTTATATAATATTAATTTGAAACAGGAGTTAATCATATATATATTATTTTTAAATTTACCAATATTAAAATTTTATATTTTTTAATGCTATAAAGTTATTTAATAAGATAAGCTTTTTTTATCAATGCAGAGTTCCTCTTATTTAGTACTTTTTTAGAACTGCTACGCCTCTTGATCCTGCTGGGGGAGGTGGTATCAATATGATGCCACTTATTTTTTTAACTTTAAATTACATTTTATTTATATCAGAGACCTGCAGGCCCGGCCCTAAGCCCGGCCCGGGTTGTATTTTAAAATATCGGGCCGGGTCTGAAATTTTTTTTAAAAAAATACCCGGGCCGGGCCAGGCCGTAAAATTTTTTTAAAAAATTTATACAACATGAATAATTACATTCGTCAATTAGATATGGTTATAATGATTATATATAGTTATGATTAATATAATGTTGAGTGAAAGTTATCACTAGCTAACACTATAATTATAGTTTTCCTGCCATGGAATAAATATGCGATTAAATACATTATTATATAATATATGTTATATTTTTTATTACAGTTTTATTTTTTTTATAAATACAATTAATATAGTATATTCTCCACAAATTTTTTTATAGCATCATTTGTAATATACTAAATATCTGCTTAGAATAAAAAAAAATATGTAATTTAGTGTTTTTAAACGGCTCGTTTTGAGCCTTAGCTACTTGCTTATTAAATGATAATACTCACCGAAAAATATTATAAAATACCAAATAGGTGAATTTTTTGTATTTACCAGGTCGTATATAATTTTAAAAAATTCCGAGCCGGCCTAAAAAAAATTTTTTCTAAATCCAGGCCAGACCCAAAAAAATTTTTTTAAAAAAATATCCGGGGCTCGTAAAAAATTTTTGAAAAAAAAATCTGGGCTGGGCTGAAAATTTTTTAAAAAAAAAATCCGGGTCGGGCTTTGCAAATGGTATCTCTGCAGGTCTCTGATTTATATAGATAAAAATAAAACTTTTCACTATAATAAAAACAAATAATTATCGGCATTTTTTTCAGTACTTCAAATATATCACCGTTTAAGATTAACTGCGTTAGATTATATAAAAAGTGATAAAGATTTTAAGACCTCTTTCAACTTTTAGACCTTTAGGAAAAATATATATATTATATCGGATAATAATAAATAATATTTAGTGTTTTATCGGATCTAGTTAGCAAGCGTTTAAATAACATTATTTGAAATTGAAATCAAACCTATTCTATCTAAATTCAGAACGTCTTATAAGATAAACATGAATAACATTAATGTAAGTTTATATATTATTTGCATAGAAACTTGCAATAATCATATCATGTCATATCCACTGAATAACTTTCTCATTTTAAATAAAAATTATTCCAAAATAAAATATATTTTTTTATGTCACATAAAAATTCTTAGTAGACTGGAGGCATTCATAAGGGCCCAGGGTTTTACCACATATTTTATCTCATTTGAAAATACTTAAAAACACTAAAATATGGTTTTATAAAAAGAAAAAATACATCTGGAGAATTAATCCAAAATTTTCCGGTTGGATCAAGTTGTAGCATTAACGAAGATATAATGATTCTAGCTTGAGCCTCATTAATCCTTTCAATTTTATCTTCTGGCTAAATATAATTTCATAAATATATTTAAATTGTCAAGTCAAGACAATGTTGTAAAGTCATGCATGGTTTCTCATCCAAAAAAAAAGGAAAAAGTTTCAATGCAATTGTTTTTTAATCGTATGTATGATATTTGCTTTATAATATTGCTATTTCTTTCAATAAGTAATAGATGTTAACTTGGTTTTAAAAAAATATAAAAATTTGCAGAATATTGAAAAATTTTATAAAAAAATTATAATAAATTCAAAATATTTTAAAATTATAACCATACTGGTAGATGATTTTGGGAATTACCATAAAAAATATAATGATATAAATAACATTTTTGGCTGGAAAATCATATCAAAATTGTTATGGTCAAACAAAATAAATTTGTAAATGTTAAAATAAGAATTAGAAAAAAGTTATGTATTCTTATCAAAAATAATTGACACGTCTGAGATTTCCTTATAAAGGAGGGTGTTTAACATGAAGATTAAAATATTTTTAATCATAAAAGTATTATATTTATTTTTTAACCATTATTCCTTTAAGATTGAAAAGATTTCTTTTTTAAATGAGAAACTTTGCATATATGTATTATTAATGTATGAATTAAAAGTTTAGGACATGGTGAAGAGAAAAATATACCATTTCGATCCACGTGTTTATTGATATTGTAGGACATTCACTTATAGAAAGCACCATATGCCACCAATGATGAGGTAGATAGAGAACTTGTCCTGGAGACAAAATACATGCATATGGTTTGCATTTCTAAATATTTTAAATAACCATAAAAATTGAGAAACTTTTAAAAGCATCACATAAAAATCCTTACTTAAGATTTACTTTATAACTAATTCATAATTCCTAAAAAATTTGTTACTACAAGTTTACAATTATCAAGCCTAAATCATAAGCAAATATTTTCATAAATATACTTTAAAATTCGGATATTTGATTAAATTTGGGAATAAAGGATTTATATTAGAGAATATCGAAGACTCTTCGTATGGAATGCGGGTTGGGTATAAATTAATTGTGTCACGTGGCGGAAACATTATCCAAAGCTTCCTGATTAATAAATACAATATATTTTTGTTAGTTTGAAATACTATATAGGGGTCGAAAAAGGAGTTTATATAATTATCACATGAATTTAAAAATATAACCGACAAAAGTTTTTTTTTAAACAAACAAAAATCACCCCCACATAATTAATATAATATACGTGTATAACTAATTGGTTACTTTTATAATTTTCACCAGATTGGGTCAAAAGTTTAAAATATTACGTTCTTTTAAATTTTAAATCTCTCCGAAAGCCTTTATAATTTCACAACGAAGTGTAGTGGATACTTCTCACCACTTATTAACTACTCACTTCCCTTTCAGGCGACATCTCGGGAAATATAGCATCCAAATGAGAGAGCATTTGGGCTCAATTATCATCCAGATAGATGCATTGGGTATAGCTTCAGACTCAATGGGCAAATCAACCTTGAGAAACCCACTTACCCCCGGAGCAACCACTACAAACGCCTACACGATCACGTCCAAACTAAGTGGGATCAACCACCAATACCGATACAGGACACAGACGTTCCAGATTAAGAAATGATAGTACCCAGGGTTGGCAAGGGTCAATTGAGGGGGAGTATTTGACCTGGTCATAAACGGTCAAATACTCTTTAAAAAAATCTAAAGAAAAAATAAATAAAAATATGTTTAAAAAAAAGAAAGATATAAATACACGTGAACACAATGTTGCTTATTTTTTTGGGTCCCCAATATCAAGAGGAGCATCTCACTAGTTATGAATTCAATAAAGTAATTAGCCATTTTACAATGAGGTGATGACCAAAATATTTTAAGTTATATAATTAATTTAAGAAGCAAAAGCAGCATGTTTAATAGCAAATTATGCAGAAAACAGTGATTTCCATAAGAAACAATCAATTCCGACCTCAAGTTAATAGATTAAACTTTGCCCACCACATTAAAAGACTAACAATTCCTAGTTTTACTTCTTCTTTAGAAAGAATCGATTTGGGTTAATATTCTTATGAAAATATAAATCGAAAGATCTCGACATCAGGAAAATTATTAAAAAATATTAAAGAAAATGATTATTGAATATGAATCAGAACAAGAATCTGTTGACAATGAATTTAGAAAATTAATATTATACATTATTATATTATTTAAAATAAAGTTAATATTGACTTAAAGAAACATATATTTATATCGGTCAATTTACCGAAACGTATTTGACCGGTCAAATGCACAACCCTGATATTACCTATGCTCCAGCGCCTTCTCTAGCTCAAGGAACACTTGCTGCCCAGGCTTGCAGATTTATCACATATGAGGAATTAGCATACCCGATTATCTTTGAAAATAACAAAAGACCCTCCTACGTATAGCTAAAAACTCAAAAGACCCTCCTACGTATAGCTAAAAACTACGCCAAAGGTATGGCTAGTACAGAGTATCCTCAAACGTGGTAACACAGCCCAAGAGACAAGAGGGATTGGCTAATTCCATACTGTATGTATTAAATTGTTATTAGTTTATTTTCATTATTATATATTATCATATGAATTTGAATAAGAAGATTATTATTTTGATATGAAATAAAAGAAATAAAATAAAATAGCAAGAATTATTAATTGATTTATATTTCTATTACTACTAAAATTACAAGAATATTAATTGACTTATATTTCTATTACTACTAAAATACACTACATAAATGGCGCAGTCGATACTGCATTAAGAGATAAATTTATATTCGGAATAAAAAATCTAAAATTTTACAAAGATTATTTCTGAAGATGATATAGACATAAATAGAGCTATTCAAATAGCTACTGCAGTCGAAACAGCTATAAAAAATACAAAATGATGAAACTAAAATCGATCAGTTAAAAGAGGAGCATAATGATAATATAAAAAATCATAAAATAATTATAATAAGAGCTACAAAAAACCTAATCCCTGCCACTCCTGTGGTGAAAACCATAGAAGGAAAAATTGTCTTTTCAAGAAGCCACTTGTTATAAATGCAACAAAATTGGGCACATTGCTTGAGTCTGTAGAAAAAAAATAGTAATTTTATTAATAATACAACAAACGAATATAATCCAGAATTTTAGGCGAATGTCAAAATAAACAAGAGCGATATCAGAATTGAAATAGATACTGGAGCTGGGGTAAGCATAATTAACGAAATAGATTGGAAAAATAAACTTAATCGTCCTGAATTAACAAATTGCATGCTAAAACTTAAAAGCTATACAGGAACCAATATACCACTATTAGGTCAGACTGTAGTAAAAGTACAATATAATGGGCGAACATTAGAACTACCTCTCATAATTACAAAAGGATATACCAAAAATCTAATTGGAAGAAACTGGATAACTAAATTTCCCAAAATGACTGAATTACCTGAAAGGACTATACAAATAAATAATATTAATATACAAAATAAATTTCCTCAATTATTTATCAAAGAATTAGGCTGCTTGAAAGATTTTAAGGCACAAATATATATAAAAAACGAGAAACCAATTTTCTGTAAATCACGTCCCGTACCATACGCATTAAAAAATAAAGTTGAAGAAGATTTAGATCGATTGCAAAAAATAGGAGTAATAGAGCAAATTAATCATTCACTTTATGCATCACCCATAGTAATTGTTCAAAAGAAAGATAAAACATTACGAATTTGCGGGGATTTTAAAAGAACTATAAATCAAAATATTAATATTGATTCATAAACCAGTTTGGAAAAAGGAGAGGAATTTTCAATATTGGATCTCTCAGGTGCAGAGTTGTTAAACACTACTTTTAAAAGTAGCGCGCTACCGCTATTTGTCAAAAAATGTAGCGCGCTACTGCTATCGCTAATCATCAAAAAAAAGTACGCGCTATTAGCTACTATTCTTTAAAAGTAGCTTTGGCTACTTTTTATAAAAAAAAATTTTAAATAAATGTTTTATTTTTTGCTTATAACATAATTGTTTAGTAAATAATACTAAAAATCAACATTTATAAATATTTAAATATAGTTAATTTTGATTATAAAAAATTTTATGTAATAGAAATAACTATTTATGGTAACATTCATTTTGTTGCATTTTAATAATAAAATCATTTCAATATTATCATCCCCAAGTCTAGTGCGACGATCAGAAAGTATAAGTTTCGCCTTACTAGATAATCTCTCAACACTAGCACTTGATGGCAAGGCAGTATTTAAATTTATATACATTTTATTTTCAATATAAAGGTTATCCAAAATACTCATTTGAGTCTTTTAGATTTAAAAAAGCGTCGAGGGGATTTTCTATTATATTATCTTTTATTTCAAAAAATTATCAGTGGAAGTCACGTGGTTGTAACAATGCCTTTTTTGTTTGGTATGAGACCATTCAACTTATTGTATGTCTGGCATCCCATTATCATTTTGAGGGCTAATGCTACAGATCTTCTATTTAAAGTCCTAGGGACTAATCAATGGCCTGATTCCCAAATAAGCTCTAAAAACATTTAATCAGATCAATTTATGAATATAAATAAGTTTTTACCTTCTATTATGTGTCCAACTATCTGTGATACATATATATATATTATATTTCTGACAAATCCAATATTAGAGCATCTTTCATAACTTTAAAGTTATTTGCTATCTTATTCATTAGTGTCTGGCTACATAAAATTGTTGTACCAGGGGATAGTTTAAATCATCATGGTAAATGGATTATCAACCAAGGACATTGGTACTAGAGATCTGCAAAGTTAGGCCCGGTCCGTACCCGGCCCTAACGGGCTTCGGGCCGGGCCTAATTCTATTTAAAATAATCGGGTTCGGGCCGAGCCGGGCCTAACATTTTTTAAAAAAAATCGAGCCGGGTCGGGTCCGACCTTGGAAATCTTTTAAAATGAATCTAAATTTATCAATTTATATTGAATTTTTTATGTAAAATAAAAATATTTGATTTTATTTATTGAAACTAAACGACATATAATATATGTCTTTTATTTTGAGTAATTATAAAAATTAATTTCTATATTTATATAAATTTGGGCCGAGCCGGGTCGGTAAATTTTTTTAAAAATAATTTAGGGTTCGGGTCGGCAAAATTTTTAAAAAAATTTCGGGCTAAGCCGGGCTTGAAGAATTAGGCGCGATGCAGATCACTAATTGGTACTGTATCAATTATTAAATCAATAAAGAATTTTATCAGCTAGTTTCTGAGAAATATTGGCCTTTGCATTATTAATCAATTTGGTTTGAATTGAATTAGTCTTTTTGGATGTAGAGTCGCCTATACCAAAATTGTTTAAATGTTTTTCTATCTCCTTAAAACTATTGGCATGAACATTCTTATAAAATAAATACTATTAGAATTTAAAAATGACAATTTACCTTTAGGCGTTTCTTGAGGTTATAGCTATTGGATTGATTTGAGGGAATATTTTTTTACATTTTAAAGAAATAAATTTAAAGCCAGTTTTTGGTTTTTATATTAATTTTAAAAAAATTTTAAATTTAGGAAATGGGAAATTTGTATTATTGCTATTAAGAACATTTTCTTCCTTGGTATCTTCCATTTCATTAATATCGTAGAGTATCATACACTGGGGAGACATCCCACAATTACGTGGGCACTTCACCGCTTTATAGAGAGCGTTTCCAGTGCAGTGAATTGGCATCCACTGTTTGGCAGTAAACCCTACTGTCAGGGCCCGTTTAATTTAAGAGGACTGACGGTACCTCTTGTGGATAAGCTAGGATCCATTGAAAGTAATTTACCCTGCTGTGAGAGCCCTTTTAATTTAAGAGGACTGACGATACCTCTTGCTTGTGGATAAGCCAGGATATTGATTGACAGTGATTTACATAGATTATTGGTAAGAATAGAGAAATAAGAAAATATACAATAAATAGTGTGGTTATCTTTTTAGAGAATTTGTTTCAATAGATTAGTAAATTTTTGATGGTTATCATTATTTGTAGGTTTTAAAATGATTATGTGAATCCATAGTGATTAAATAATTGTAACAAATCAAGTGTATTTGAGATGGTAAATCTTGAAATAAAATTAATAAATGATTATAAAAAATTTAATTAATTATTCTGCGAAAATTAGAGTGGTGTAACATTGCATTTAATCATTAATAGTTTCTTATCATATTAAATATTAATCTTGTAGTTTTCGCAGACGATATTTTTTCCGATAAAATTTGGCCAGAGAAGACATAAATATATCATCTTGCCATTTCATTAATATCATCGTCTAACTTACTTTCAACGATTTGGATATCCATAGGCAATGACATATTAAATTATTACACGTGATTTAGGTTTATAATACAAATTGAAAATATAAATTACAAATTGAAAATATAAATTACAAATTGAAAATTTATTTTCTAAATTAAATAATAAATCATAAAAATTATAATTTTATATTATATTTAAATTTTCATGTTTATATTTACATTCATTATAATTTTAAAACAAAAAAATAAGCGCGTTAAAAAATTAAATAATTACAAAAAAAGTAGCGCGCTATTAGATATAGCTACCAAAAAAGATAGACTCTGCTCAGTTGCCTATTTTCAAATAGTGGGGGAAGAGTCTCAAAAATATCTTGTAATCAATACGCATTAAATATACAAGACTACCTTTTGGTATATCGTCTTCTCCCGCAATATTTCAACGAGCCATCGAGAATTTATTAAAAGGTTTAAAAGGAGTAGCTTGTTATTTAGATGATATTATAATAACCGGGAAAAATAGAGAGAAGCATGAAACAAATTTAAAAAAGGTACTAAAATGTCTAAATGAAAATGGAATCCAAAATGTCGAGTACTTAAGACACAATATTTCAAAAAACGGGATTTAAACTACCGAAATAAAATACTAAGGCAGTAAAAAAACACCAGAACCAATAAATTTGAAACAATTAGTCATTTCTAGGGTCAGGAACACTATTCAAAATTTATTTCAAATTTTACCGGCAAAGCCAAACCATTATACAAATTATTAGAAACATCAATTGTTTGGAGATGGACTAATGAATGCAAAGACGCGTATAAAAAAAAGAAATATGTAGTACTCCAATATTACCAGAGTTGTTAAAGTGCGCTACTTGTAGCGCGCTAACTTTTTTGGTAGCTATAGCTAATAGAGGCTACTTTTTTTGTAATTATTTAATTTTTTAGCGTGCTATTATTTTTGTTGTAAAAAATATAATGAAGGTAAGTATAAACATGAAAATTTAAATATAATATCATAATTAATTATAATTTTTATGATTTATTATTTAATTTTAAAATTGAAATATAATTTCAATTTGTAATTTATATTTTCATTTGTATTATAAACCTAAATCACGTGTTAATAATTTAAAATGTCATCGCCTATGGACATCCAAATCGTTAAAAGTGATTCAGACAATGATATTAATGAAATGGAAGATACCAGGGAAGAAAATGTTCTTAATAGCTATAATACAAATTTCCCATTCCCTAGATTTGAAAATTTTTTTAAATAAATATATAACCAAAACTGGTTTCAAATTTATTTATTTAAAATGTAAAAAAATATATTTCCCCAAATCAATACAGTAGCTATAACCTCAAAAAACACCTAAAGGTAAATTGTCATTTTTACATTCTAATAATATTTATTTTATAAGACTGTTCATGAGTTTTAAGGAAATGGAGAAACATCTAAATAATTTTGGTATAGGCGACTCTACATCCAAAAAGACTAATTCAATTCAAACCAAATTAATTAATAATGCAAATGACAATATTTCTCAGAAATTGGCTGATAAAGTTATTGTTGATTTTATAATTTATACAGTTCAGCCAATGTCCTTAGTTGATAATCCATCATTTACCATGATGATTAAAACTTTATCCCCTGGTACAACAATTTTATGCCGCCAGACACTCATGAATAAAATAGCAGATAACTTTAAAATGATGAATGCTCTAATAGTAGAGTTATCTATCATATATATGTACCTCGGGAGATAGTTGAACACATAACAGAGGGTAAAAACTTATTTAT